AGCAGTCTATGGAGCTGTCAAACGAGCTGTCAAAGGCAAGCAATAGCAGTCTATGGAGCTGTCAAACGAGCTGTCAAAGGCAAGCAATAGCAGTCTATGGAGCTGTCAAACGAGCTGTCAAACGAGCTGTCAAACGAGCTGTCAAAGGCAAGCAATAGCAGTCTATGGAGCTGTCAAACGAGCTGTCAAACGAGCTGTCAAACGAGCTGTCAAAGGCAAGCAATAGCAGTCTATGGAGCTGTCAAACGAGCTGTCAAAGGCAAGCAATAGCAGTCTATGGAGCTGTCAAACGAGCTGTCAAACGAGCTGTCAAACGAGCTGTCAAAGGCAAGCAATAGCAGTCTATGGAGCTGTCAAACGAGCTGTCAAAGGCAAGCAATAGCAGTCTATGGAGCTGTCAAACGAGCTGTCAAACGAGCTGTCAAACGAGCTGTCAAAGGCGCTTAAGGCGAAGTTTGATGGCGTTGGAGTCTGGGACGATCTCGGACGTCCAGTTAGGTGCTGTAACGTCCGGTCTGGCGTGTTGGGTCGGAACTTGGCTCTGATCAGGTCCGGTCTGTTGGGCCCGAACTTGGCCTCGGTCAGGTCCGGTCTGTTGAGCCCGATCTTGGCCCCGATCCGGTCCGGTCTGTTGAGCCCGATCTTGGCCCCGATCCGGTCCGGTCTGTTGAGCCCGATCTTGGCCCCGATCCGGTCCGGTCTGTTGAGCCCGATCTTGGCCCCGATCCGGTCCGGTCTGTTCCTCGTCGTCGTCGATGTAGGTAGCCGGCGAGTGGGGTGGGGTCTCGTAGGCGTAGTCCTCCTCGGGGCTTTCTAGCGTCTCTTGGGGTGGTGGGGATGTTTTGCACCTCGTGTGATGTAGCCACGCGTTTTTCTCTCCCACTTTCACGGCAGTCGGGGAGGTCAGTAGTACTTGGTAAGGACCTTCCCACGCAGGTTGGAGCGGTGCCTTCTGATAGACCTTAACGAGGATCCAGTCGCCGGGATGGAAAGAGTGGGCATGGACGTCGATAGGCAGGTTTTGTCCCTCGATAGCCGCGTACTGGTGGAGGCGTAGTAGCTGTGTCTGAAGCTGAATAATATAGTTAGTGAGTTCCGCCTCCCCCACGTCCAGTTCTGAGAGAGGAAACAAGGTGTTGTATACGGGAGGGGGTCTCCCGAATAGAAGTTCGAATGGGGAAAGTTTCAAGGGTCCTGTTGGGGCACTTCGTATATTATGAAGGACCAGTGGGAGTACATTTACCCATTTCAGCCCCGAGAGTCTACAGAGTTTTCCCAGTTGCATTTTTATCTCCTGGTTCATACGTTCTACTTGACCAGAGGACTGTGGGTGGTACGGTGTATGAAGGTCCCACTTTATTTGGAGGGCCTTGGCCACCAATTGTACCACTTCTGCAGTGAAGTGAGTTCCCCTGTCACTGTCTAGGTGGCGGGGTATCCCATATCGAGGAATGATGTCTTGAAGGAGGGCCCTAGCGACTACCGATGCGGTGGCCTTTCGACAGGGGAATCCCTCCACCCAAGAGGAAAATTGATCTATTATAATCAGGGCATGCTTGAAGCCTTGGCATTGGGGTAAGTCGATAAAGTCTAGCTGTAAACTCTCAAAGGGGACAAAGGCCCACGGTCTAGCTCCTGGTGGTTTCCCTTTGGGCTCACGTTTGGGGTTGAAGTGATGACAGGTAATGCAGTTCTTGGAGGCTGCTGTAGCTGCGGTGGCTATCCCTGGGGCGTACCAGGACCTCGTAACGTGGTCTATTAATCTCCATTTTCCCCAGTGAGTCTGTTGGTGGAGGATTCTCACTAATTTTGGAACCCAGGCTCTCGGAAGGACTGTCCTGCCATCGGGGAGGGTCCAAATACCATTCTGTTCAGTTGCGCCCACGGATTCCCATTTTGATTTTTCCTCCTCTGGGGCTGAATCATATATTTGTGTTGCGTCTATGTCTGTAGGTAATTGTAAGGCTTGAAATTCGGACTCATTATTTGGGGGGCGAAGGGCAGGCATTTGGGCAGCTTTATCAGCCCGTCTGTTTCCTTTTGAGACCGGGTCCCTCCCTTTGGTGTGTGCTTTACAGTGGACTACTGCTATTGCACTCGGTAAGTGAATGGCTGTAAGGAGTCTCTCCACTAGGGCGGCGTGTGAAATTTGGGAGCCGGCTGCAGTTAAGAAGCCCCTTTGGAGCCAAATTTGACCGGTTGTGTGTACGAGCCCGAAGCAGTATTTACTGTCCGTGTAAATGGTGGTTCTCTTCCCTTCGCCAAGTTCACAAGCACGTATGAGTGCAATTAATTCAGCGGCTTGGGCGCTATACTGTGGGTTAATTGGGTTGGATTCCAGGACTTCAAAGTCAGAGACGACTGCGTACCCTGTCTTCCTTTCCCCTTCGATGACCTTTGAGCTGCCATCAGTGTACAGTATGAGGTCGGGGTTTTCTAAGGAAGGTGGTCTAGATCCTCCCGCGGTTTCTCGGCTTGGCGGACTATGGTAGCGCAGTCGTGGTGTGGGGTGCCATCATCAGGAAGGGGTAATAGGGTAGCTGGATTCAGGGAATTGACGCGTTTGATGGTGACGTTAGATGGGGTTAATAGAAGGGCTTCGTATCGGTTTAGGCGAGAGTTTGAGAAGTGATGACAACCTCTCAAGGTTAAGAGGGTGGAGACCGAGTGGGGGACATGGATGGTAATTTCATGTCCCAAGACTGTTTCCTGGGCTTTCTCAAGGAGGATCGCAGCGGCGGCAATGGCTCTTAAACAACTCACTGCTCCTTTTGCGGTGTTGTCTAGTTGTAGACTGTAATAGGCTACTGGTCTTTCCTGATCTCGGAAGGGTTGGGTTAGGACCCCTGAGGCGACTCCCATTTGTTCATGGATGAACAGGTTAAAAGGAGTCCGGTAGTCTGGCAGTCCTAAAGCAGGAGCGGACCTTAATTCTCTTTTTAAGCGTTCGAAGGATTTATAAGCTTCCTCTTCCCAGACCAGGGTATCTGGGTGGTCTTGGCGGGTCATAGCGGTTAAAGGCTTCGTTATTTCGCTATAGCCGGCAATCCATGCTCGGCAGAAGCCTGCCATACCAAGGAAGCCGCGTAATTGCCGCTTAGTCTTAGGGAGGGGAATTCTGGTAACGGCCTCGATTCTGTCGGTGGCTAGGCTTCGGGTACCCACTCCTAGGATGTGCCCGAGGTATTTTACTTCCTGTTTACAATATTGTAACTTCTTAGGGGACACCTTGTGTCCTTTCCGGGCTAGTTCTGAGAGGAGATATTTAGTGTCTAATTTGCATGCCTCTTCACTAGTAGAGCACAATAAAATATCATCTACGTAGAGAAGGAGGGCGGAGTTAGCAGGCAGGCACACGTCCTGTAGGTCCTGGTGTAATATGGCGGAAAAGATCGCGGGTGATTCTACGTAGCCTTGGGGCAGCCTTGTCCAAGTTAGCTGGCTGGGTCCCCAGGTAAATGCAAAAAGGAATTGGCTGGCGGGGTCCAAGGGTATACTGAAGAAGGCGGAGCATAGATCCGCTGCAGAGTACCAGGTTGTTCCCGCCGGGATGGCATTTAAGAGGGAGTTAGGGTTGCCCACGACTGGGTGGCGGGGTATTACGAATTGGTTTACCAGTCTCAGGTCTTGGACAAAACGGTACCGGACTGGGGCTCCTTCTGTGGAGGGTTTCTTTATGGGGAGCACTGGGGTGTTACAAGGTGACGCACAGGGAACAAGGATCCCTTTGCTGAGGAAATCTTCTATCATAGGTGTCAGTCCGTCGATTGCTTCTTTGGGTAGAGGGTATTGCTTGGTGCAAGGGAAGGGCCGATCAGTTCTATAGGTAATCCTTACCGGGGTGGCAGATAATAGCAATCCTACAGAAGTTGATTCCGTGCCCCACAGTGAAGGAGGTAATTCATTCTCTAGTTCTGGGGGAAGTTCGGGAAACTGGCGATCTAATTTTTCCTCTAATACCATGCCTTGAAAGGCAGGGACAGAGTCTTCGGGCATGTACAGGTAGATGCCATCTTCAGAACATTTTATGGTGGCATTGAGTTTGCAGAGTAGGTCTCTGCCAAGGAGATTCACTGGGCTGCTCGTTAGGAGGAAGGTGTGTTCCGCCAATAAGGGTCCGAGGGTGACTTTGGCCGGTTGTGAGAGAGGGCAAGTGCGGGGTATCCCGTCCAGTCCCATAACTTTCTTGGTTTCTGACCCGGGTTCTAGGTGGCTGCTAGTCAGGGTCGAGTACGTAGCTCCCGTATCTAATAAACATCGATAGGGGTGGCCATCGATCTCAATCGTGCAGATAGGGTCATCTGGCGATAATGCTAGGACAGGGTAGATGGCTTGGGCCGGACTGAGATTCCCCTTTAATTGTCAGTATGTGTCTTGATCTTCAGGAGGTGGCTGGTTGGGGGGGTGTAAGGGAGGAGCGGTGGCATTTGCCCAAGAATGGGTGGTTGGAGTCATAGCGGGCATTTGAATCTGTGTTCCCGGTTGAGGTCGTTGGTTTGGAGGTGCTTGCATAGTGGGTTGTTGGTTGCCATATCCCTGGGTTATGCTGGGATGTGGGCGCGTCGGGAAAGGAGGATAATTGGTCTGAGCTGGAAAGGGTTTAGAGCCTTGTACTCCATAGGTTGTGGTGTTTAGGTAGGGGCAAAACCTCTTTATGTGTCCCTCTTCTTGGCAGTAATAGCATCCTCCGGTGTTGGGTCCCCATGGTCTGTGGGGAGCGGGGGGTCCTCCTCCCCGGCCCCCTCTTCCTCGGTTAAAACTTCTGCCCCGGCTGGAGTTAGGCTCCATGCTCAGCGCTAAGATGTGTTCAGTCTCAGGTTTTGCTTCCTTTCGTTTCCTTTCATCCCGAGAGTTATAAACTGATTTGGCGATGGATAAGATTTCGCTAACGCTCTTCCCATCATATCCTATTTGGAGATTCAGGGCTTTTCTTATATCTGGGCTGGCCTGGTCTTTGAAGAAACCCTTAACGATTACTTCATGTTGGGGGTTCTCCGGGTCTATCCCTCCCCAGGTCTTGATGGCGGAGACCAATCTAGTGTAATAATCCGATGGATGTTCATTTGGTCCCTGTAGTACAGTTTGGACCTTGGTCCAGTTGACAGTACGCTGTCCAGCGGCTTTACACCGTCTAAGATAGCCCTTTTAAATAGATTTAAGCACCAAATCCCGTTGGTGGTATTGTAGTCCCATGTAGGTTCTATACGCAGGCACTGGGCTGAGAGGGCCGCTAATGCCGCGGGACGTCCCCTCTGGTAGTCCGGTGACTCTATGGCCTCTCCGGCTTTGGTCAGAATGTCCGCCTTTTCAGCTTCATTGAATAGGGCGTTTAAAAGAACGTGGACATCTGGCCAAGTGGGGTTGTGAGTGGAAAAGATGGCGCTGATCTGGCGATGGCATTTATCTGGGTCATCCCTTAGAGAGGGCATTTGATTTGACCAGGTTACTAGGTCGGCAGTATAAAAGGGCTGGTGCGTATAAACCATCCGGGGTGCCCCGTCGGGGTGGATGGGCGGAATCGGTAGGGCCCTTAGGGGCATCTGGACCGCTGTGGAACTTTCCTGTCCAGAAGTTCCCGGGGTTTCTTCGGTTTCTTCTATAGGGCGCTCTGTAAGGCTACGGGTTTCTACGATGGGGTTGTTCTTTCTGGCTTGTAACCTCGTGAGCCTCTGGTTCTTACTTCCTCGTGCCCCTCCATCCCCCGTTTCTTCGTCACTATCCGAGCTATCGCTAGGGATGGGTGGTGTCGGTTCCCTATAGTAGAAGGGAACCAGGGCTTGTTCTACTGTATCATCAGCGAAGTGTCCTTCGTAAGGGGGGGGCATAGGCTGCCTTCCGGGATTTAATATGGGCAGCTGATACGATGGTGCTCCCTTCGAGACTTGGAGTAATCCTTTAACTGTCTCGAAGGCTGCCAAATATTCTAACTGGCGGGGTTTTTCTTCCATTAAGTGTCTCCTTAGGTGTTTCAGTCGGTCTTCGTTAAACGAACCTCCCTTGGGCCAACGTAATTCTGGTCGGGCGGAAGTGGTGTTGGCGGGCCAGATTTCTGTGCAGAGGTTCTCTAGTTTTTGCTTCGATAGAAGTTTGTGGCCAGGAATCGACTTCCAATGGATGATTACAAATTCGAGAGGAGAGTCAGGGTCCCTCTGGGACCGGGATGGCTTTCTAGAAGCCTTCCTCCCAGAGTGAGCCCGCTCGTGCTTGGAAGCCTGGGTACCCATTTTATGGTTCACGCGTGTCTGGGTAGAAAGAAGGGAGAGAGATATAGGGTCGGTAAGGGTTTATAGGGGCCTGGGTATCTTAAAGAAAGTGTTCTCGTTGCTTGGCAACCTCTTAACGATTTAGTGAGCTCTTAATATTTGGTTCTCTTTTCCTAATTTCCTCCTTATCCTTATTTAACAATCGGGGTCCCTTTCCACTCTGCCAAACCCGCCCAATTCCTCATGAGCTATCCCTCCTGGCAACCTCCTACCTAGCGTTACAATCTCAGAAAAAGGGAGCCCTACTGGACGCCCGCGCTGTGCGGTGCCAGATCGGGTGGTCCCCGGATAGGTTTCCGAATCGAAAATCCCCCTTGCTTTCGGAAGCGGGCTCACGATACACGTGGTCCGACCAGTGCGGCTGGGATTGGGATAGAAAAGCCAGACCACTTCCTGCCTCCTAGGAAGGACGCTCGGGAAGCTCGGAAAGAGAACTCCAACCCCTTGCTTTCAACTGAGATGCCCGTTGCGGAGAGTCGGCTTATTTTAAAGTCGGTTCTCTCCGTCTTACTTTCGGGCTCCCAATTGGTGCGGCTGGCTGGAGGGTTTAGAAAAGAGATAGAGCTCAGAACCCCCCTTTCGGGTCGAGCGGTGGTCCACGGTCTTTCTCGCTAACCGGACCAAGAGAAAGGTGAGAAGGAACGATAGAGAGGAGGGCAGAGAATTCAGTTGCCAGGAGACTTCCACCCCTACCCACCAGTGCACTGGATTTTCCTATACTCACGCGTCTTCTACGATGATCCCGGGATCGATGAATAAGCCGGCTGGATCCCTCTTTGCTCCCCGGCTGAACTCCTAGGGCTTTCGATGGCCCGGTAGATGGCCGGAGGTCCAAAAGGATCTTCCCAGGCAAAATGGCCCGGAGCCGGCTGAAGATTTCGGGGGCCCCGGTCAGCAGTTCGGGAGAACCGCCAGCCCCACGTTGGGCGCCAACTGTTACGGTAAAATCTGGGTGCGGGGTTACTCTGCCACCCAGCTCGTCGGACTGAGTCCGCGGGTCCCTGCGGGAGAAAATGAGCTCAGCCGGAGACGGGAGCAAGTTCCAGGAAATCCAAGTTTATTGCGCAACAGGTTCAAGATGAAATTGAACCCCGAGTAAGGGGTGACAGGAGTTTTGAAACTTCCCTCCATGTCCCATAATACAGTGCGAAACACGTCATGAATACATTACAAAGAGGTTGGGTTACATGGGTGACATCATGAATATATCACGGAGAGGTTGGGTTACACGGATTAGCATAGAGGACAGGGAGGAGGGAATATGCAGAGCTGAAGATATGCATAGATAAGCACTTCCTGAGTACCGGTGATGAGAAGACAATGGTCCGAATATGTAAAGTCTGCCACCTGGTATTGCCCGGAGGAAGGGCTGGGCGAGGTGATCTGACCAGATTAAGGTCTTCCTGAGTACGTGACTCCTCGCTCGAGGGATTATGGAGTCCTGGAAAGGCTGAGTCGATTGACACCAGAACCAAGGAAATCGGAGAAGGGGTTGATTTTATATGAATTTAAGAAGTTTTCAGTCTATTTCGTCCATTCTTACAATAATAATAGAAAACGGAAACAAACTAGATACATTTGACAGTTTTACGAGCTAAACTGGATACATTGTAACAAGGTTTGACAGTTTTACGAGGTTACGAGTTTCGATTCCATTGTTCTCTCAGCGGGGAGCTGTCAGCAGCTTGTCAAGAGGTTAAATGAGGCGTGCAGAGGCTCGCTGAGCTGGTTCTGCAGAGCAGATGCACGTATCTGATTGGTCAATACGCGGCCATTGGAACAAACGGGGATGTATTTTGACACGGTCGACTCATAATAAAGATGGAGCGAGAGAAGGGATAGGGGCTTGGGAGTTTTGGGCTTATTTCGCCCGTGGAAAAGGGGAAAAGGGTTGTGTGTGGTGCTTGTGCGACGGTGAAGAGGCTGGGGAAGGGGTGCAGAGTGTAGTGGGCGCTCTTGAGGTCATCGTTTCGGACGTGGGAGGGGGGACCCCCCCCTTACCGTATCACCCCCGATTGTGGATCTTAATATAATGATTTTTCCCTCTGCAGCGCTTTCATAACTCTATTCTTATAACTCCCATTTCATTTCATAGTTCGTTTTTTTGCTACAAGTTTTCTGTCAATCCTACCAATGTGTGTAATTGTTTGCAATACTCCCCCCCCCCAAACAGATTATAAACTTTCCCCAGTCTTTATTACAGACCGCCTCTTCCTGGTTTCTAATACTTCCTGTAAGTTTTGCCATTTTGGCATAGTCCATCAATTTTATCTGCCACTCTTCGTTGTGTTAGGGTAAAATCTAGGTGCGAGGCTGCTCTGCCACCTAGCTCATCGGACTGAGTCCGCGGGTCCCTGCGGAAGAAAGGAGTGCAGCCAGAGACAGGAGCAAGGAGGCGAAGATCCAAGTTTATTGCGCAACAGGTTCAAGGCAAGATTGAACCCCGAGGGTGGGGGGACATGAACTTTTAAAACTTCCCACCATTACCCATGGTACAGTTCAAAAGCATCATCAACACATCACGGTTACATCATGATTACATCAGGAAAGGGGTGGGTTACACAGGATTAACATATCCAGGAGGGAGATATAAAGATATAAAGATGGAGTACTGCATGTTTGGGTTGAAAGGGGGTCTTGTGTCTGGAAAGGTTGAAGAGACCTGTCTCTGCCCCACAGCCGACTCATGAAGGAGGTCTGGCCAGCCTGACTGGGCCACATCCTGGCCCTGGCTGACCTGAAACACCCCCCACCCTCTCCTGTGGGTTGTGCCCCATAGCCTTGAGGACTTGGAGGGGTCTCTGCCCATTCTCCCCTCTTCCTCCTCCCTCCTGCCTTGGGAAGAGATGACCCACTTTGCTCTCCTGACGCAAGAGGGAGGGGGCTGCTGTCCAAGGAAATCTCCCCCCACCTTGAGCCAAGGAGCCCCAATTCCTCTAGCAGAGGGTGCTATGGGGCTTGCCCAGCCCCACTCCATTCAGCTCAGCCATTCCCAAGGGGGTCCTTCCCTAAAGTGGCAACTCCTCTTAAGCCATTGCTGCTGGGCTGAAGGGGGGGGGCTGTGCTGTGGGGGGGGGGCTGGGAGCTACTTCTCTGTGAGGAGGTTTTGCTGCGCCCCCGGTTGACCTCCGTCTCCTGGATCGTGGCCAGCTTCCCTCTTTCATTTCCCTGAATGCTGAGCTGTGCTCCAGGCCTCCATGTGGGGGGAAGCGAAACTCCCCCCAGCGCCTTTCTGCAGCGTCTCCTCTGCTGCCAGAAACAAGGGGGCAGAAGGAGGGAGAGATGTGCTATGGGCCCAGAAGTCCTGCTTCTGTCACCAGGGAGCAGGCTGCCTGGATCCTGCCCCTCCTGTCCAGGGACCCCCTTGGCCCCCTCCTCTTGGTCTGGTTCTTCCTCCAAGAGGCCTCCTTCCCAGCCTCAGGCAGGAGCTGCATGGACACCCAAATTACATTGGCACTGCCTGCAAAGAGAAATCTAGCACAGCAGGGAGAAAGGCTGCAGGCCAAGCTGTTGCCCCCGTTTCCTGCTTGCAGGGAGGTTATTCTGCTTCTCCTTCACATTGGGGAGAGAGCAGTAAAAACATGAAGCTGCAGCTACAGTGGAGCAGTCCTTTCTCCCATGGGAGCCATTGTGGAATATAGATCTGAAGTTCACAGCCTCATCCCTGAACATCTTGTATTCCGAAGAGATTTTGACCCAGAGTTTCCTCCTCTCTCTCCCTCTCCCTCTCCCTCTCTCTCTCTCTCCAGCCAAGGTCCTTCTCTGTGGAAGTGACTCCTCCACTCTTAAACTGAGCCTTTGCCCTCAGGTGTTGCTGCTGTTTTGTGCCGCCACCAGGTGTTATGTACTGAAGTTCTCACCCTGGGCCAGCAGGTGGATACTGTAGATAGTTATGCAAATGAAGGCTCGAAAAGTGACGTTCAGTGATTGGATAGTTTTGTATGCAAATGAAGGATCGAAAATTCAGTGATTGGATAGTTTTAGAAAATGGCAACAGTTACATTGTTCTGGAGCTCTATATAAGCAGGCTGACTGAGCCCCTCAGCTTAGTTCTGTTCTGGCATCTGAATAAAGAAGAGCTGTTTGAAGAATCACTGTGTCGTCTGATATGTTTGCCCACAACTTAACACCAGGAACTGGGCCAATGTGCAAATCCAGTTATGGGATTGGAAGCTCATGTACAGATAACCTGCAACCGTGGGCGTAGCTGTGATTATTTTTCTTGGGGGCAGGCCTTTTGTTAGGGGGCAGAACCTCAGTTTGCTTTGCATTTTAATTGATCTTTATTGATTGGGGGCAGCTGTCCAACCCTCCCCCCACGGCTGTGCCCATGCTTACACCCTATTTGATTGGTCCTTTTTTGAAGCATTTTTTCCTTCAGAAAAAATGAGATGCAGAGAATTCCCACTATTGGGGGGGGGGGCTGAGTGCTGTCAAAATGCAGAGGCTGTCACAAACTCACAGCTTGCAAAAGTTTTTGGTAGTGGAACATGAAGAGTCTGCCATTTGCAGTTTTGCATTTAAGCCCAGAAATAGAAATTAGAGTGTTGGATTTCACATTTTACATGGGATGATTATTGACAGTGGGGAGAAGACAGCCTCTTAACTCTCCCCCCCCCCGTAATTCTTTGAAGCGGGTCTTAAAGCCAGAGCTGCTCCAACCGATGACTTGTTTAAAAAGTTCCTGTTTCGAGGGAACCCAAATGTCACAATCTCCACTTCTGCCTTGAAGCACAAAACAGTCTTGGGGGACGGTAAAAGCAGAGTTGCTGTTGCTGCTGCTTGGGGGGGGGTCTATAGTGTTGTCCTTCTGGGGACTTTCCTGGAGGGGAGGCTTGATGGGAACCAATCACAGGTCCCGACGCTGCCTGGTCATCAGTTGCTGGGCAGGAAACGCGTTGCTCTTGCCAAACCCCTTAGAGTGCATCACTTGCTGGTCTCTGACTGTGTCCTGGGCTGCTGAAGGGGAGAAGGAGCAAGAGGGAGGAAGGAGGAGGAAGGCAGCCTGCAAAGATCACGCCACCCGCACCCCACGTTCTCACCAACTCTTTTCCTCTGGATCAGCCCTTCTCCAACTTCTGACTTTTGGGGATCAGCCCTCCTGCTGTGGAAGCCCCTGTTCACTTGCACCAGACCAGACTTTTCCCAGATTTCAGAAATGTTGCCATAGGGAAGGATCACTGCTCAGGGGCCCCTTCTTGCCCACTTGGGGTCTCTTGGCAATGCTAGACTCCGACTCTTACCCCCCTTACTGGTACCATGTGTTACTTCAGCTGCTTCCAGATGTGGAGAGTCAGCCCTGCAGCCTTGAGGGGCCTCCTGCTCCTTCTGCCGGCTGGGGCCTTGGCCTTCTGCCCCCAAGTCTTGCCCTGGCGGCACTCCTGCCCTGCCCCTCTGCCAAACTCTGCCTTCTGTCTCTTTGCATTAATTGACTCCCCCCCCCCCGTAATTTGGATCCCCCTCATTTGAGATCCAGAAGAAGGTATGAGATTGCACAGCAAGCTGGGCCTTGTCTGTCGGCCTCTGTGATGTTCCTCCTCAAGGCTTGGCACCAGGAAGGACGCCTCTCCCAAACCCCACTCGGTGGTGTCATTTACCTTCTGGAGACTCTTGCAAGGGGGGGCAGCAAAAATAGCAGCAAGATACGGAGAGGAAGGAAAACACCAGATAAACCAGCAAAGAGTGAATCCTTCTCTGAGGCTTTTAAGGCATGTTCCAGGCAACACAGTCAGCTCATGATGGAGGTCTGGCCAGGCTGACTGGGACACATCCTGACCTTGCATGTCCTGAAACACATACCTCTCTAGTGTGCTGTTGCCCCTGGAAGAAGACCTTTATTCATCCACCCTGAATTTGAAGGGGGGGCCTCTGCACATTTTCTCCCTGTCCCCCCCCCCCCGATCAATCACTCCAGTCTCCGGAAGAGTAGGTGCTTTGATCTGATGAGGCATTTTAGGACAGGGGGATGGGCTGTTCTGTTTCTGTCATCTGTTCTCCCAAAGTGGGGATCCACAGGTCCTGTGGGATAATGGTTTGGGGCATCACACAACCCACAGCAGGCCTGGAAGATCAGAAGAGTCCTGTTGTGTCATCAGGCTGAGTAGGGTCCCCCTGCCCCAGCATCCTGTTCCCAGCAGGGGACAGACAGGCAGACCAGGGCAAAGGCAGGGAGGCACCAGCTCTGGCTCTCCTGATCTCTTATCATCCCTCAGAATCTGGGCCTAGAGACACGAGGAGTCAGTGTAGCCACTCTGGTTGCAGTACTACCCATTTCCTCAATGGTTCACCTTTTTGCTTTGAAATAATAAATATATCCAGAGCTTATAGGCAGAGAAAACAGCACTAGAAACAAATCAACAAACTGTAAGATTTATTCATTGCTTCTGGAAATACGGAGCATGTATGAAAAACAGCAGTTGGGCTGCACAGAAGCCATTGGGAAAGTTTTGCAGAAGAAGAAGGGATATTTTCCTCCACACTGACAGATACAACTCTGCTTTATGTGGACGAGAAAGGTGTTTGGGGTCTCTTAGCAGCTAAACTTCCCCAACAAGCTGGATGAATCCTCTTTGGGATTAAGGAAACATCTGAGGGGTGTATTCCTGCAGTGCAATGCACGGAACTGAGGAAGGCTCTCTCCAAAAACTGGAGAGGGAGGTGAATGGTTTTGGGTAAGTGGGGTGGAGATATGAATTAGTATGACTGACACTCTGTTGGTAGGGGGTCTCCTTGAGCCATGCAGATACAAGGCCAGGCAAAGCAGGAAAACCCCACAAAAACTATCCTGACTCAACCATGGAGTTTGTGGGAGGATCTGCAGCCAAACCACAAGCCCCTCTGTCAGAGATGATTTAGCTGAGATTCCTGCACTGCAGGGGGTTGGACTAGATGGCCCTTAGGGTCCCTTCCAACTCTACAATTCTATGATTCTATAAAATGCACGATTACTGGACAGCCAGAAGGAAAGGCACCAGGGAGTTTCAGAACCTGCATAGAGGGAGCTGTAAATGTTGCACCATGGCAAGACATTTAATGTGAGTAAACCATATACTTTTCCTATTTACTTAAACAGTCTGAGAGCAATTTCTTTGTTAAGAGGGAAACAGAAAAGGGAGAAAAGTAATGTAAGTCTGCCTAAGCATCTTAGGCTATCATAATTGTTCTTGAAAGTTAAACATATTATCCGAAAAGCTTCTAAGGATAAGCTGCACATGGAGGAAGCAACTCCTTCCAGCTGATTCATAGCAGAAGAGACTCTTGGCAAAGGAGCTGAGCTGAGAGGGTTTAAGGAAGAGGCTGTCAGGAAAGGAATCCTCCATTATCTGAAAAGGAAGGAGAAGGGAGCTGGTGAGCTGGGAGTATGGAGGCTGAGCACCTTCTGGGCAGGATGAGGCCCACCCCACCCTTTGCTGTGTATTTTGGCTTCCCTTGCATTTGTCTCTCAGCCCCTGAAGGGAAACGGGTTCGACTCACATGAAGCCCCTGCGATCGTTCATCCTCATGGCCTTGAAGAAAAGGATGGTGCCAGCGATGATGCCCAGGATGCCAAAGGCCAAGCCCAGGGCACACAGCACGTTCTCCATCGTCTCCGGGATGGGAGAGGGCGCCTTGGAAACTGGGATGGAGAGAGAGAGGACAGGGCTAAGGGTTTCTCTGTGTGTGTTCAGTGGAAAAAAGAACCCAAGAGTCCTGACACACCTGCACCACCCCTTAATATACACTTTTAAGTTAAACTGAGAGAAACTACCTCAAGAGGAATAAATTATTCAAAACTGCAAGTGTACTTCACCTGCATAAATTACTCTGATCTTCAGAACTTGTTTCTTATAAGCCATGAATCTGGGTTTCTGAGTTCAAGACCCAGAGAAAAGCGCCAATCCTGCCCGGTGCTTACCCCAGATCTTCTCCATCTTTCCCTCTGGGATGCCCCAGTGCTCCACTTGGCAGACGTAGATGTCTCCCTGCTCAGGGACGAAGGGGAGGTAGGAGAACTTGCGGAAAGTGTTGTCCACGCTGGGGTAGAAGTCTGTCTCCTCCACGCCCTTGGAGACCACCTCGTTGTTCTTCAGCCAGGTGACGTTCAGCACTGGGGGGGAGAACCTGTCCACAAAGCAGATGAGGACGTTGGGGTCCCCCAGTTCCACGGCGTTTTCTGGGTACACAGTGGCCGAAGGAGCAACTGAGGAAGGAGATGGAGAAAGAAATGGGATTAAAACCCATTTGAAGCAGTCTAGAAATGGAAAGCATATCAATTAGCTGTTAGGCTGATCTCCCCCTTTGTGTCCCCAGTTCATCAAAGAAACAGGCTACAAAAAATCTGTCTAAAATGTATAAAATGTTGCTTGAATGGCACACAAAAGATGAAGATTTTGGTTATAATATACAATATGATGATTAGATGAAATTATGGAATGAAAGGTTAAAATTCATGGCATGTTCGGCGTTGAAGGAAAATGTAATGAAAATGGTTTACAGATGGTATATAACGCCAGTTAAACTGGCTAAAATGTATAAAACATGTAATAAGTGTTGGAAATGTAAAGAAAAAGAAGGAACTTTCTATCATATGTGGTGGGAGTGCAAGGGTGAAAGGCTTCTGGGAAATGATATATAATGAACTGAAAAAGATGTTGAAATATACGTTTGTTAAAAAACCAGAGGCCTTCCTATTAGGATTGATAGGAAATGAAATTAACAAGAAAGACTGTAAACTTTTTCAATATGCAGTGACAGCAGCAAGGACACTTCTGGCCCAAAGATGGAAGCAGGAAGAAATTCCAACAGTGGAAGAATGGAGAAGGAAACTGACTGAATATGCAGAATTGGACAAACTGACTGGGAAAATTCGATACCAGAAAGACCAAAAATTTATCGAGGACTGGGGGAGATTTACAGAATATCTGAAAAGTATATGTGATATACAGACAACGCTTGTTGGTTTTGAAGAGACTCTGTGAAAAATTAAGAAATATTGTAAAAAAGGGAGTAAGAGGGAAAAGGAGTTTTTAAAGGCAATATTAAGCTTAGAAATGCGTTAACAATGGAAACTTTAACGAAAGATTGGCAGAGAAACTGAGGGAAGTCAAAAATTGATGAATGAGTGATAAAATATGTGTTGATTGTATAAAAATGTTTGGAAAATGAATAAAAATTATTATAAAAACAACAACAAAGAAACAGGCTACAGGCTGAAAAGTAAGTTTAACACATATATTTGCTCACAGTCAAGCATTCATCCTCAGCACCAACAGCATTAAAACAACACAGACAAAATATTTGCATTTACAGCAAAAAAACAACTTCAGGCATGTGCCTGAAATTGGAGTGAGTGGGGCCCTGTCTGCTTCCATCATTGGTCAAAGGGAGAGAGAGAAGAAAATACTACTTCCTCCCTGAGCAGGGAGAAATAACGTCACCCAAATTCCTCTCTACCAGTTACATTTCTATGGTCTGAGTCCCTCTATCACCAGTGCAACTCTTTGGACTTGACTCCTTCACATACTAACTAGCAAGAATATGCATTGTTAGATATGACTGCAAAATCTCCCACACCATGTGCCCTACATTAGCTGCTGTGGGCATTTCTGCACCGGGTGTTCAGGTTTGGGAATGCCTCTGAGCTTGCACAGAGTGCTATGCCCCCCCCAGGTTTCCCTTCCCTTTTAGCCTGTCTCAGTCAGCCAAGGACTGGCTCCCTCCAGCAGAGTTCCCTCTGGGGAGGCACAAAGGGGTCCTGAAGGGTCTTCCGTGTCAGAAGCCAAGAGACCACCCCCTGCCTGCCCCCCAGCTCTCTCCCCTGCCCCCCTCGCGTGTCCTACCGTTCAGGGCACGGGTGCGGTTGCTTCGCTTCATGAGCACCTCCATGTTGTTCTTCATGACGGCGATGTTGGCCAGGGCGCCCTGCACCTCAAAGCTGGTGAAGCGCTGGAAATCCGGCAGCCTCCAGACGTTCTGCTTCTTCTCCCAGTCCACGTGCAGGATCTCCTCGTTGTCAAACTCCAGCAGGAACTCCCCGGACTTCTTCTCCGAAGGGAAGCTCTCCTGGAAGAAGTCCAGCTCCACCAGGGTGTCCTCCACTGCAGGGGTGGGAGAGAGAGAGGGAGGCTTTAGGACCCCGCAGCAGGATGAGGGAGAACCTGCCCCGTTGCTAGGAATGGGGCCACCACCAGGAAGGCTCTCTAAGTAGGGGGGGGGCTTCATCTGCTCCCAAACACACAAATATGTCAGTTTTAAAATCCCCTCATTTCCAAAAGGTGGTCCTGGGTGCACTTGAATGTGGGTGAGTGGTAGAAAGTTGGAATAATCATTCAAGAGAACAATCCATGTCTCCATGTGCCTAGATCTCCACTTTCCTCCTTGCCCCAAAGTGAAACCAGTAACAAATGCATTTCCTCTTTCAACCGTGGATCATCCACAGTCACCCCTTGTTGCCTCATGCCACGAATTAAAGCTTTGGGCTTATTTCTAAAAGAAATAAATCTGTTGGACACGCAGACGGGGCCATTGGCCACCTGCCTCTTTCCTTTCCTGAAGCGACTTCCTTCTGGAGTTCACTCACTCACTCACTCACTCAAACTAAACCGCGTCTTCTCGGGAGTGGAGTCCCTTTGCGTCCGGCTGGGGTCCCTGCCAGGCAAGTGGCGATATGGCCCCTTTTGTGCCAGGAGAGAGACCACTCCGTCTTCGGGGGCAATGGGGTGGGGGGCTGATGCCTTTTGGGGGCCAACACTGGGGACTTCCGGACCAGGCAGGTCTCTGTGGCAGCCGAGCCCACAGAGAGGAAGAATAATTCTGGTTTTATTTCCCTTTCCCTCCTTGTAACAGGAAAGGCTAGGGGCACAGACTCCGATCTTCTAAGTTGGTGTGTGTAGGGGGGAAATGCTGTTTTCATCCCGTTTTCCACTCTCATTTCTTTTTTAGACCACCTTATTTGAGGGAGCAAATCCTCCTAGCCCGTCATCCTCCCATTCCACGCACCTTCCAGCACTCTTTCGTGGGGGGGGGGGGCGTCCAATTCCATTCCTCCCCCCATCCCTCCGTATTCCCTTCTGCACCTGTCGTGGGGAGGGGGCTTCTCCTCCCTTAGCCCAAGAGACCCCTCCTCCTTTGCCCACCAGCAACGCCCAGGGGCGCAATCCTTCTCCCCATATCCCCCCTAGCCCCCTCTTGGGACCCCTCCCCAGACATCTCCCCCTCCCTCTGCGCCCCCTGACCTTTCAGGGCTCCGGCCCCCCTTGGCGGGGCGAGGAGGAGGGTCGCCCAGAGGCAGCAAAGGGCTCTTCCTCCTCCTCCTCCTCCTCTTCCTCCTCTGGGCTCCATCTCTGCAGCTCTTCCTGGGCCGAGGCGGGCGAGGGGCGATTCAAGCCCAAGTGTCCCTTGCCCCTTCCTCCTGGATGCTCGCCCTCCAAGTGGCTGTGGGGCGGGGGCGGCCAGGGGGCGGCTTTGGCGGAGCAGAAAAGTCCCTGCCAGCTCGGCCAATGGAAAAGCGCCCTGGCGATGACCAGCCTGTCTCCAGGTAAACCTTCCCTAGGCAGGAACCTCAGCCGGAGACGGAGCGAAAACAGCAGCAGGAAAAGGGCAGCTGATATTTTGGGGGTGGGGGGGCTGGATGTCCCCACGAGGGGAGGGGTCTCCTCCAGGGAAGGGGCTGCGGGGGCTCCTCTCTGTCTCCCCCCTGGGTGTTTCTTCATGGGGCTCCTCAGACACCAGCGCCAGGGATGTTTCTTGCACAGGGGAGCTGGGGGCTGGAGGGGGCTTTTATTGGGGGGAGGGGTCTCCTTATTGGGGGGCTGCCAGGTCTCCTCGGGATGCAGGCTGGGGGGCGAAGAGGGGGAGCCCCTCCCTCAGCAGACAGTTCTTCCCCCCTTGAGACTTCCTTCCTCTTTCCCGATACATGAAGGAAGGAAGTTTAGCGGCTTAAAACGCAGCAGAAGAAAAGCGCATCTCGCTGTTTTGAAGCCTGAGACTGAAATTTCCCTTTTCGCTGCCAGAGGAAAGTTTTGGATGGAACTGACAGATTCTTGTTAAGCTTTATATCCCCGCAAAGGTTTTCTGAGGAAGATGTTTATTCACCCGCGACGCAACAACAATGGAGACATCAGAAGCAGCTGAGAAGGCAAAGAGGAACTTGCAGGTCGAGCGAGAGCAGAGAGAGCCCTTGCTAATCCTCTTGCCAGGAGTTCCCTGCCTGGCGACCGATGACGCTGCCTCAACTCGGAGGCGGATTGGACGCTCGCGGGGCGGGGAGGTGGAGGGGCGGGGCCTGCAGGAGTTTCCCCCGGGGCTGAGCGGAGAAAGTCCCATTTGGGAGTCTTCGGGGGGCGAAGAAGAGAGAAGGATGGGGGGCTCCGGCGCTGCGCCTTTGGCCTTTGGGGGGCTCCTGCTGGGGATGGGGGCGCTGGTGGTCTCTTCTTCGGAGGGGCTGGGCGTGGAGGCGCCTCCAGGTGAGCCAAGATTCTGCAATGGGGGGAGAAGGAAGGGGAAACTCCGCTTAGCGGGACCCCCATCGGTGGGGCTCCTTTGAGGATCCCTCCTAGATGGTCTTCCATGATCTTAGCAGGGAGTCCGTAAGTGACTGTGGAGGCCAATTCTGGATCCCCACGTCCTTCCACAGGGGGGACAGAGGTTTTTTTTGGGGGGGGAGTTGATCCCTTGAGGGTTTGCCAGGCGTGCCTTCCTCTTAGCACTTTCTCGCTTGTGTCCTGAGTTCGAGTGTCTTCAAAGCCCATGACACCTTTGGTCAAGGCTGCTCTCCAATTCGAGCGCTTGCAGTCCAGTGTTTCCCAGTTGTCGGTGTTCATACTACATTTTGTTAGATTTGCCTTGAGAGAATATTTTAACCTCTTTTGCTGACCACCAGCATTACACTTTCCGCTTTTAAGTTAGGACTAGAGTAGCTGCTTTGGAAGGCGATAATCAGGCGTCCGAACAACATGGTTTAGTTCAGCGAAGTTGATGTTGAAGAATCCTTGCTTCCCCACGGGGGATCTTTGCTTCTTCCAGGACACTGGGGGCAAAGGGGCAGGAGGGAAGGGGAAACACTCCCCCCACTGAAAAAGAGCAACTCAGCCTTGAAAGGAGAAAGCATTTAATTATATCCCAGCTTTCAGGATTAAAATCCTACCCCAGCAGCTTACAAATAATATTCCATTTAATTTTAATAGAACCACAATATTCACACATTAAATAGTCTTCCTGCAGGACAGCTGATGGCAGGCAGCCCTAGGGGACTTTTTTGCGGGGGGGGGGCAGTTGAATCTGGCCCTGAGGTCTTCTTCACCTGCTTCTCAAAATCATCCTCATCATTATTAGTCCATAACCAATTATTAAGTCTATAAAGGACTACACATAAGGCATAAATATACCTTTCATCTGCTCTTTCTCAATAATAAGAAACCCAGGCAAGTGCGTAGTCAGGATTTTTGTTAGGGAGGGGCAGAACCTCAGTTTGCTATGTATTTTTATTAATGGGGGGCAGCTGCCCCTCCCTGTTCCCCTTGGCTACGCCCATGGAGCAGCAGCGAAAGTGGGGCAAATGGCTCCCTGCTCCGGGGACCCTGCACTCCCCCCCCCTCGCGGAATGTCCCCTCTCCCCGTCCCCCCCCCGGGGTCCTCTGGGTGCTGAAATGGGCTCCTGCGCAGACTGGCGTCGCTTCCTGCGCTCTGGCAGGGAAAGCGAAAGTGAAACCGGGTCTACCCGGTAGAGGGGGTCTCGTTGGGGGGGGGGTTTGCAGTGAAGCCCCCTTCAGCGTCTCCCACCCTCCTCGGCATCTCGCCCCTTTCCTGGTCTTTCTCCCACCCCAACATTTCTTCTCCCAGACGGAGGGCAATAAAAGGGGGAGGGAGGTTTACGTTTTTGTTTTAAAGAAACTGGAGATAAGCATGGGCGTAGCCATCGGAGGGCAGGGAGCAGCTGCCGCCCCCCTTAAATAAATTAACTAAATAAAGCAGATAGCTTGCTTCTGTCCCCCTCCCCAATAAATCCTGGCTACGCCCATGGGGTCCAGGATCTTGGAGGTTGTGGCTCCCTCTCCACAACGGCCTTTCACTATCGCTCTCTCCCTTTCCTTTGGGAGGAGGTCAAAGGGGGGGGTCTCGCTGCTCAGCCTCCCCCCCCCCCCCCGGCCATGGGATCACGTGACATGAGAGAGAGAATGGGAGACAGACAGACCATCTCTCTCCTGCCCTGCAAGGGCAACTATCCGCTTTGGTGGGAGCTGCCCCCTTAAGGCAACCGGGAACCGGAAGTCTCCACCCCCCAATTTCATTCTTCCCCCCCCCCAGAGCATTTCCTGTTCCAGCATAAGGGCGAGTGCCACTTCTCCAACGGGACGCAGCGGATCCACTTCCTATCTAGGGACTTCTTCGACCGGCAGGAGCTCCTCTACTTCGACAGCGAGCGAGGGAAGTTCGTGGCTGTGGCTGAACTGGCGGAGCCCGAGGTCAAGGCATGGAACCAGGACAAGGACTTCCTGCGGAGGAAGAAGGCCAACGTGGATTCCTTCTGCCGGAACAACTACGAGATCGACGCGCCCTTCGCCCATTCCCGGCGCGGTGAGTCCAGACTCGGAGAGGGGGGGCGTCATGGCAAACGGGCCCCCGGAAGAAACCAAAATGGGGGTGGGGTGGGGTGTACACGTGACTTTCTCCCCTCCCGGCCCCTGTCGCTGCTGCCCCCTCCCTGGACCCCCTCCCCTCCCGCTTTTCAGAGAGGAAGAGGGGCCTTTCCTGGCGCCCCACTCCAGAGGCAGAGGCAGTGTAGCACCCTGCTTGTGGTTAACGCTTAGCTGGAATGAAATATTCAACGCAGCAATAGAGAAATTAAAATAATAATTTATTTGTCAGACAAATAAATGAGAGACACAGTGGTATATGGATACCAAAGCTCTGCCTACTCCAGCCCTGATGGCCAGCACTTATATTTCCTCAGCCCAGCCCCCTTGCTCCTCCTTTGGCTGCCTCTGTCCAATCAGCCTGGTTGAAATTCCTATTGGTTGTTTGCTAGAACCAATCATAAAAGATACACCCATTTCCTATTCCCTTTTATGGGAGACAAAAAGCTATATTTCCTTGTATCCATAAATGGCAGACAAGTAGCCATATATCTTACATTTACCTCGACCAGGCACCTCAATTACCAGATAACCTTTGGCCCCTGTTGCCCTATTCACCGCAAACCAGATGGCTAAAGCAGATGGTGCATGGTTTCTAATTATATTTTATCTTAAAGAGATCTTGAGTTCACCTTCTCACCCACCATAATAGGAATCTAACATAAGAATCTAACATTTCTTACTTTCTAAATCCTTTGCATAATCACATTTAAGCCAATATATTTCATACATAACATAGATAGATTTTTAGAAGGAAAGGCCTTTTCAAATTAGAAGGAACTTAGTAAATTCTCTGAAGCTTCAAAACAGTTTGGAGAGAGGCCTTTTTCCCTAACCAGCAGCTGTTTCTAAGAGCAACCTCTTCCATTTAACCTTTAACCTTATGGCTCGAGTCTTCTGTTAAACAATAAATTTCACTATTTACCAGTTCTTAATTGTGTTTTTACAGCTTGATTGTATTCTGGTCAGTGTGACCTTTTGCTCTCTGGCTCTAATTTCCTTTTACAACCTTGAAATACTTTTATTTATAGCAGTGGGGCCCCTTGAACAGCTGCCGGAGTATTCAGCTGCTCTTCTCCCTTGCAGAGAAAAAATATATTTACAAATATAATTTTTTAAGCTCAAAGCAGATTTTGATCAGATGCCTCATTCCCCCCTTTCAAGCTCAAGGACCTTCATCCCAAGTGTCCTTGATAGCTTGACCTTCATCATATTCCTGAGGTAAAGCTCTGTATAGGGCCATAATATGAGGTAAAGTTTCATTTGAAATCATCTTGCTAATTGTACTTCTAAAACATGAAATGATACATGGCACCGTACATAAAACCATTACTACTACCGTCAAGAAAAACAAGCAAGACAATAGTATCCCTTTGAGTCCCGCAACATTAGGTAACCAATTGGTGAGCCATCCCATATCCCATCCTTCCCATATTTGTACTGGGACATGTGCTATACTCTCCATCTTTGTGGCCAACACACGGATTGCCTCACCATTATCAGAAATGTTAAAGCAACAGGCATTCCCTGTCAAGTTCAAGACTCCACATAGGCCTCCCTGCCTGGCAAGTACATAATCCATTCCCATTTTCAGCTGCAAAATGGCGGCTCTACTTTCATCCAACTGTTGTGCAATAAGTCTCAAACTCTGGGCCGTTGCATTGGTTACAAGTTCCACTACTGCTTGCAATCGAATTATTCTGTTTAGATTATAAATAGGATCCCGTGCCCCTTGTATGAGCTCATCAGGATTCCAGGAGGCAGGCTCATAATAGGCTATAATGCGCTCTGGTGGCCAATCATCAGTATCACTCCAACTTTGGGTACTTCCTCCTGCTATATGAGAAATATCAGCATTTCTTCGTGTACGCTTTGCCGAACTAGTGGGCATAATCCACATTGGTGGTAATACCCATCCCAGGAAACAAGTCCCACTCCATTTGGGAGGGAGTTGCTTGTATGCCCATTCTCCACATATCCACCACAACCATCGGGTCTGAGGTTTTTGGTACGTGGAGTGCATAAGGCGAAATATCAAAGGGGCATAGAGTTCACAGTGCAGTATGTTAGATTGCCTTTTTCTGTCACAGTTATGTTCCACACCAGTTTCCATGCATGAATAAAAGGAGGTGCACAGGGCAAGGTATTCCGAGTTCGATAGGTAGTACCGTTTGCCCAGGTTTGACTATTCTTAATATAATCCCAAGTATAGTGGCAATGAGAAGAGCCTATCATGATAGAATCAGCTGCAGCTGATAATTTATGTACACAGAATTCCCCTTGCACAGGTATAACTCGTATTGGTTTAGTTGAGTTCCATCCGGGGAAATTCTGTACTTCTGTTTGGTGTGGCATTTCGCTTACCATACCAATGGCATTTAATGGTATCGGTAATAAGGGCATACCTCCCTCTGAATCATCTGGTCCAAGAGAGCAAACAAGGCAATTGGTCCTATTTGTAACATTGGCTACCATCTCAGCTAAGCCTACCCACATATTGTGGTCATGGCGGAATCCATATTTAGCAAATTTGGTCAGATTCAAGGACCCTTCCCCTTCCCAAGGGATCAGGATTAATAATAAAATCATGTTGATGTCTAGTATATGCATTTCTTCCACAGAAGATTACCTTATTGTGATAACAAAAAAAAATATTAGGCCCAATATAATAACACCAATGACATAAATGTGGAACCAACAAGACCAAAAAATATAAACCGAGGATCCCCAATGAGTAATATCCCTGATAATTGTTCCACAGGGGGGGGCAGTCAATCAATTGTATAAGAGAATCTTCCTGTTCACAATCGCTGGTTCAGACGCTCCTCAAGCTTCAGGCGTGCGCAGGTCAGCCAGCTTCCAGGTTGTGGCTGCAGCAGGCCGGTCGTCTAATGTTGCCCGTGACCTAGCCCGTTCCCCGTAGGGCTAGATACAGGGGTTTTGGAGAGAGTCAGTTTAAAAGGATTAGAGGGTCACCTTTGCACGTCCAACTGCCTTCGGACTTCTTCAAACGGGAGTGATGAATCCAGGGGGTCACCTCAGCTACCTTCACCGCTGTTGGAGTAGAGAGCAAGACGGTGTAAGGCCCACGCCACTTAGGTGCAAGTGGATCACGTTTCCACTCTTTCACCCATACGCTATCGCCAGCCTGGAACTGATGAATCGGCTCGGCAATGCTGCACGGCGTGCGCTCGAGGGCCCACCTGTTAAGAGAAACAAAAACACGGGAGAGAGATTGCACTTGTCCCTGTGTCACATGGTCTCCTATTTGTTTGAGGTCAGCTGGAATATCCTGAACAAAGGAGGGTGGCCTCCCATACAGGAGCTCAAAAGGTGACAACTTAAGTCTTTTTGTGGGTGCACACCGAACACGAAACAGTGTTATGGGTAACACATCTACCCATCCCAATCCTGTTTCCTGGGTTAATTTTGCCAATTGGGTTTTCAGAGTCCGATTCATTCTTTCAGTTTCCCCGAACTTTGAGGCCTATATGCTGCATGCAGTCTCCATTTCACTTGTAGGACTCGACATACTTCTTGTACTACTTGATCAATGAACGCTGGCCCATTATCACTTCCAATGCATCTAGGTAATCCAAACCTCGGGATCAATTCAGTGAGGAGTCTCTTAGTTACCTCTCGTGCCTTTTCAGTCCTGGTGGGAAAAGCTTCAACCCATCCGGTAAGGGTATCTACAAACACAAGGAGGTACTTGAATCCCTTAGAAGGGACCAGCTCTGTGAAGTCCACAATTAGGCTTTCCATGGGGACGTATCCCACATGTTGGATTCCAGGAGGTTGTACCGGTCCCTGCCTGGGATTGTTTTTAGCACAAAGAACACATTTCTGTGAAATGCAAGTTGCTAATTGTGATAGGTTAATAATATACAACTTCCGACTGAGACTCTCTCTGGTTGCAGTACCGCCAAGGTGAGTAGATTCATGATAATTTCTTACAATTGTGCCTGCTAGGTGATGAGGTACATAAATCCTATTGTCCGGCAGGATCATCCAACCGTCCTTCACAACCGCTCCTTCCTGTTCAGCCCACTTCCTCTCTTCTGGGGTATAGTGAGGTTTAATTTCTTCTGGAACTACCTCTGGTATGAGGGCTGCTATAAATCCTCCCACAGGCTTCTGGGCTGCCTCTCGGGCTGCTTTGTCAGCAGCATGATTTCCTCTGGTTATTGGATCCCTTCCACGTCCATGACCTTTGCAGTGCATTACAGCAATCTGTTCTGGAGCCCATACTGCTTCCAACAGGATTTCTACTTCAGGTCCATATTTCAAGGCCTTCCCATGGGCTCCGATTAGACCTCTTTCTTTCCATAGAGCTCCATGTGCATGCAGGGTTAAGAAGGCATATTTAGAATCAGTATAGATGTTTGCCTTACATCCGGCTGCCAATTGCAGAGCTCTAGTTAAACCTATAAGTTCAGCCTTTTGTGCTGAGGTGCCAGCAGGCAAAGCTTCAGCTTCCACAACTTCCTCATTGGTGACCACAGCATATCCTGCTCGTCTGGCACCTTCATGCAGGTAACTGCTACCATCAGTATAATATACAACATCTGGATTTTTCAATGGTTCATCTTTCAGATCGGGTCTACTGGAATACACTTCATCCATTATTTGGAGACAATCATGTGATTCTTCATCATCTACCTCTGGTAGGGGCAGCAAAGTTGCTGGATTGAGCATATTCACTACTCGTAGATGAATCCTGGGATTTTCACACAATAGGCCTTGGTATCTAGCCATCCTTGGATTCGTTAGCCAATAACTACCCTTATATTCCATGAGTGTCAGAACAGCATGAGGTACATTCACATACATCGTCTGGCCAAAGGTAAATTTATCAGCTTCTTTGACAAGGCTTGCAGTGGCCGCTACTGCCCTTAGGCATGGAGGCCATCCTTTTGCTACTGAGTCCAATTGTTTTGACAAATAAGCTACTGGACGGTTCCAACTTCCTAATCTCTGGGTCAGGACTGCTGCTGCAATCCCATTCTGTTCATGTACATACAGCTGAAAGGGTTTTCCGAATTAGGCAGTCCAAGGGCTGGGGCCTCCATAAGTCGTTGTTTGATAACTAAAAGGCTTGTTGCTGCTCAGGTCCCCATACGAATGGGTCCTTTTCTGCACCTCGAGTGCTTTCATGTAAGGGCTTGGCCAGACTGCTGAAATCAGGTATCCATAGTCTACAAAACCCTGCTGTTCCCAGGAATCCTCTGAGTTGTTTCCTTGTGGTAGGTTCCTTGATAAGGCAAATAGCTTCTTTCCTCTCTGGTCTCAATGCTCGTTGTTGGTGTGAGATGTCAAAGCCCAAATATTTGACCTTTTCTAAACATAACTGTGCCTTTTTCTGGGAAACTCGGTAGCCAGCTTCCCAGAGCAAGTGGAGCAGTTCCTCTGTCCCTTCTTTACAGGTATCAAAATCCTTTGCCGCTAGTATAAGGTCATCTACATATTGCAGAACCACCTTTTTCCAGGTATTGAGGGGTAACTTGTTAGATCCTTCGCCAAGGCAGTGCCAAATAAAGTTGGGGAATTTTTGAATCCCTGGGGCAATCTTGTCCAGGTTAGCTGGCCTTTTGTTCCTGTCAAAGGGTCTTCCCACTGGAAGGCAAATATAGGTTGGCTCTGTGGTGCCAGCCGGCAACAGAAGAATGCATCTTTCAAGTCCAATACAGTAAAAAATGTTGCTTCTGGTGGGATCAAACTCAGCAAGGTATATGGGTTTGGTACATTTGGGTGCAAGGTCTCGATAGCCTGGTTTACGAGCCTCAAGTCCTGTACTGGCCTGTATTCATCTGTCCCAGGCTTCCGAACAGGCAAAGGGGTGTGTTCCATTCTGATTGGCAGGGCTTAAGCAGACCATATTTTAATAGGCGGTCCAAATGTTTCTGGATGCCCTCTGCTGCTCGCCGGGGTAAAGGATATTGCTTTACAGATACAGGGGTAGCCATAGGTTTTAGGGTTACTACAATTGGAGCTATATTCTTAGCCATTCCTGGTGGGCTATTTTCGGCCCATACTCCTGGTGGCACTTGTAGGGTTCGGAGGAGCTTGTTTAATTCTGTATCCAATGTGGGTTGGACTTGCAGGGCTGACATTAGGCGCCATGATTGTTCCTTAGGTACTGAGAGGGAAATTATTCCTGCTGCCTTTGATGGCAGTTTCATTTCTGGACCTCGAGGAGTGAAGGTGATTTGGGCCTGCAATTTGGACAGCATATCTCTACCTAAGAGAGGCATTGGACACTCAGGTATATACAAAAACTGATGGGTTAAATGATGTCCCCCAATCTGGCATTCTAAAGGTTGGAGGAAAGACCTCTTAGCTGACTGACCAGTGGCACTTTTAATGACTACACTTTTGGATGCCTTTTTCTGCAATAGTTCTGGGAGTACTGAGTATTCAGCGCCAGTATCTATCATAAAGTCTATTAAATGGCTCCCTAATTGAATTTTGACCGTGGGCTCCTGGAAGCCTAACTTTATGGAGTCCGGTCGTTCCTAGTCTTGGGTAAAATCCTCCTCTGCCAGTCCAATGAAATTGTCTCTACTCCGTCCTTGTCCAGGTCTCTGATATCTTCCATCTCGGATCATTCCCCGTCCCCGTCCCTGGTTTCTTGGGCCGGAGCCTGGGCCTGGGCCTGGGCGTACTTCTTCCAACCTCAGGGGTTCAGGACACTCCCGCTTCCAATGACCCTCCTTCTTGCAATTCGCACATTGATTCCTTCCCAGTGGTGGATTCCTTCCCCGCCCTCTCCCTCCATTTAAAGGGCGGTAGTCTTGCTTCACTGCTGTGGCTAGCATCACCATCTTTTCCTTCTGCCACTTCTTCTTCTCTTGTTTCTCAGCCTCATCCCTATTCCGATAAACTCGGCGTGCAATGGCCATAATTTGGCTCATCAGCATCCCTTCCCAGCCTTCTGACTTCTGAATTTTCTTACGAATGTCAGAAGCGCACTGAGCCACAAAAGTAGCAGTAATCATTCTGCTGTTTGCAGGGGCTTCAGGGTCAAAAGGAGTCCATATACGATAGGCTTCCTGCAGCCTCTCTAAAAAGTCTCCCGGACTCTCATTCGGTTTCTGTTCTACTTCTGAGACTTTAGTCATATTAGTGGGCTTCTGGCATGCCCTGCGGATACCTTGCACAAGCGTCTGGCGGTAGGTGGTAAGCCTGGCCAGGTGAATTGCATTGTTTGGATCCCAATTAGGATCCTCCAAGGGAAAATTGTCCTGGAGATGACGGTCAACATTAAGAATATTTCCCACTCTGGCCTGCTCACGCAAATATATCTGTGCCTTTTCAATTATGTCTCTTCTTTCCTCAGTGGTGAACAGAGTATTCAGGAGCTGGCGGCAATCTGTCCAAGTAGGACTATGAGTATTTACTATTGAAGTCACCAAGTCCATCATAGCCTGAGGTTTTCTGCGAAAGACGGGGTGTGTGTTTTCCAATTCATCAGATCCGTAGTTGTGAATGGAATGTACTGGAGGGTCGAAGTTCGAGGTGGCCGTGGTCCGAGTTGCCCGTTAACCAGCACAGGCTCCTCAAGTGCATCAAATACTCTTCTGAGAGGGGCTACTACGTGACCTTTCTCTTCGCTTTGCTTTAGGGGCCTCAAATCATAGGGGATAGTATTTGTCCCAAGGCGTTCTTTTAACAGCTTTATACGCCTGGCTGTATTGCTTACTGACCGATCAAAGTCTCCCTGTAACTCCTGTAATAGTTCTCTAGGACTTGGATGTACAGGGGTTTGGGGTGGGCAATCAGTTGTTCCACTAAAGGAGACTGTAGATGGAGTTCTACTGGGACTCACAGGTGGAATAACCACTTCTGCTTGGGCTTTATTATAGGACTCCAATGCCTCCTGAAGATATTTATCATAATCTATCAAGGAATCAAGCTCTGTGACTCCAGCCCCATTATTCCTTCCACTTTCTTGCCTTGGGGTTACAACTGGTGGAGTGTTTGGATTAGGCCCCCTCGATGTGGAGCATAGGGTGGAGGTGGAAGCACCTCTTCCTCTGGTCCCTCAAAAATGGGTTTGAGTTTATTTGGCAAGATTCCTTTCCTAGCTTCGGCTTTTACAGCCAATAATTTGCATTGTTGGACTTTGCATTCCCTTATCCATGGAGGATTATTATTTAATGTGCTCAGCCAAGAATCTATATATGAAAATTGTTCTGGGCACCCTCCAGTTTCTTTGGTGATGTTAGACCAAAGTTTGCTTGCTAAATTTATATCAAAACTTCCCTGAGGTGGCCATCCAGTATTTTGTTTTGGCCAGTCTAATTCACATAACGTTCTCAAGCGCTCTGGCGTCATTTTGACTCCATATGCTCCTGAGAAGGCTTTCTTAAAATTATTTAACATACATTCAAGAGGTGTATTTTCCCCCTTTGAACCTCCAACTCCCATTGTATGGCCCTGTGAAGTATCCACTCAGTCACTCACACACACGCTTCGTGGGGATCCTTGCCCGGATGAAGTCGCCTTACCGGGAACCGAGTACTACCCACTCCACACTCAGGTCAGCTACAAATTGTACTTTCTCACACATACAATGCGCTGGATACTTCACCACACTCTACCTCCCAATCTTTCCCTTTTCCCTCCACCAGACCACCATCTGATGTACCCAACCACCTAGCGTACTCAGTTCCCCCTTACTGAGACGCAGAAGTTTGATCAAGACTTCTCTTCCTCCCAATTAATTGGAGGGCCACAACCCCTTTGTGCACTTACCCTTAGCTGGTTCCCTGTTTATTTCTCTGGTTACCCCCGGTCCGTCGCCGCCAGTGAGCAGGGTATCAGACAGACGAGACTTCTGCGTTCCCCTGGAAAAATGTTCCAGTGCGCGCTGGGTAAGCGGTCAGTGGTCCTCCCTCTTGTACCCTGCCCGCTAGGGCGAAGGGGCTGCGTTCCAGCAGACCACTTATCCGAGTCACAGAGGCACCATAAAATGTAGCACCCTGCTTGTGGTTAACGCTTAGCTGGAATGAAATATTCAACGCAGCAATAGAGAAATTAAAATAATAATTTATTTGTCAGACAAATAAATGAGAGACACAGTGGTATATGGATACCAAAGCTCTGCCTACTCCAGCCCTGATGGCCAGCACTTATATTTCCTCAGCCCAGCCCCCTTGCTCCTCCTTTGGCTGCCTCTGTCCAATCAGCCTGGTTGAAATTCCTATTGGTTGTTTGCTAGAACCAATCATAAAAGATACACCCATTTCCTATTCCCTTTTATGGGAGACAAAAAGCTATATTTCCTTGTATCCATAAATGGCAGACAAGTAGCCATATATCTTACATTTACCTCGACCAGGCACCTCAATTACCAGATAACCTTTGGCCCCTGTTGCCCTATTCACCGCAAACCAGATGGCTAAAGCAGATGGTGCATGGTTTCTAATTTTTTTATCTTAAAGAGATCTTGAGTTCACCTTCTCACCCACCATAATAGGAATCTAACATAAGAATCTAACATTTCTTACTTTCTAAATCCTTTGCATAATCACATTTAAGCCAATATATTTCATACATAACATAGATAGATTTTTAGAAGGAAAGGCCTTTTCAAATTAGAAGGAACTTAGTAAATTCTCTGAAGCTTCAAAACAGTTTGGAGAGAGGCCTTTTTCCCTAACCAGCAGCTGTTTCTAAGAGCAACCTCTTCCATTTAACCTTTAACCTTATGGCTCGAGTCTTCTGTTAAACAATAAATTTCACTATTTACCAGTTCTTAATTGTGTTTTTACAGCTTGATTGTATTCTGGTCAGTGTGACCTTTTGCTCTCTGGCTCTAATTTCCTTTTACAACCTTGAAATACTTTTATTTATAGCAGTGGGGCCCCTTGAACAGCTGCCGGAGTATTCAGCTGCTCTTCTCCCTTGCAGAGAAAAATATATTTACAAATATAATTTTTTTAAGCTCAAAGCAGATTTTGATCAGATGCCTCAGCAGGAGGCGTTTCTGTGTCCCTGGAAGCATCATAAACCATTTCATGTATTGCAATGTGGAGGGTGTCTGTCGTAGTTTATTTATTTATTTATTATTAATTAAATTCGCATCCCGCCCTATACCAGTAGGTCTCTGGGCAGCTTGCAACACAAAATTGCAGTATTTACAATAATAATAATTAATAATAATAATAATAATAATATAACAACAACAATAATAACAACAATAATAGAAGTAATGATTTTATTATTATTAATAACTCATCTAGCTGGGTTTCTCCAGCCACTCTGGGTGGCTCCCAACAGAATTAAAAGCACAATAGAACATTATAAACTTCCCTAAACTTCATTTACTGCATGTGATGTCTATGGTTCTCCCTCTCCTCTCTCCACCCCCACAACGACCCTGTGAGGGAGGCCAGGCTGAGGGGGGGGGCTGGCCAGGGACACCCAGGAGACTCAAGGCCCAGGGGGGATTTGAACCCGGGACCCAGTCCAATGCTGGACTACATTAGAGTGGGGGGCTGCAAGGGGGAATAGGCAGCCTTTCAGGGGGAGGAGAGAGAGCACATTTCAAGCAGAAACCCAGAACATTATTAAAGTACAAAATGATGTTATTTGGACATCACTCAATTAATAATTGTGACGCCTTAGCATGTCATTTCTTGCACTCCTGACATGGATTCAGGTCAGGCTGCCATATGTCCAGGTTTTCCAGGGAATCGAGGTGTTTAAATCGGGGGGGGGGGTGTTTAGAAATTAACCCCACAGTCTCAAAATCACACACATTCAGGATTAAATAATAATTATTATAAACATGGTCCATTTCCTTCCCACCCACTCATTACTATTTTCAGCTACAAGGCTCCCCTCCAACTCCCCCCCCCCCGTTCTCCAGGAGTCATCCCTAAATCAAAAGTATATTGAAAGGAAAGTTATTATAATCACTTGGGGGGTGTGTGGATTTGCATAACATATGCTCTATATCAGGGATGTCTAACAGGTAGATCACGGGGGGTGGGGTCCTGTGGTCTGCGCCCCCCCCCCAAAGCTCAACAACTTTGGCTTCCTAAAAAAAGCCCAACAACTTTGGTAGATCACAGCCAGGTTTTTTATATTCAGAGTAAATCTCAGTCTCTTGAAAGTTGGACATGCCTGCTCCATATCACATACAGATTGATGTGCTGTTTTTCAGTTGGAGTGAAGGGCCCCAAAATAAATTGGTAGTCTCTCTCTCTCTCTCTCTCTCTCTCTCTCTCTCTCACACACACACACACACACATACACAGACAGATGTCTGACAGGTGAAGCTTTCCCAATAATTGCATTTCTACAGGAGAAAAGGGCTTAACCTGTTGAATTTCTGCCTTCCACTCAGCTCTAAAAGGCACAAGAACCTCAGCTGTCTTTGTGCAATTCCCATCATCCCTAGCGAGCAGGACCAGTGGTCAGGGAGGATGGGAATTGTAGTCCAGAAAGAGTTGGCAACCCAAGTGTGGGAAACACTGAGGAGACCATTGTACTGTAAGTTAAGGATACTGTGCAGTGAATTCTGAAGATCATCCTGTTTGCTAGGAAAAAAGGAAGGACAAACTCCTGAGATTCCCAGGACTCGGAAATGAGACAGAAGGATGGAAAGTGTCCTAGGAAGGGGAGGGGCATCCCAGGAACCCCCAGTTTGCGGAATGCGCAGCCTGACACTGGGGAAACTGGGCTGACTTTGGGTAGATTGGGGGGAGGGTCAGAGATCCCACTGGTGGGAGTGGGAAGTTGGGGGCTGGGAGCGTAGGATTGACTGACTGTCCCAGTGTCAAATCTAGGCTTTCTGTCACCTGAGGCAAAGACCTGGTTTTGTCACACCCCCCCCATGTGCATTTGCATACACACACAAAACTTGACACATTTGTTCATAAAGGGCATAAAAAGAGGTTTGAAAGAGGCTGGAAAAGAGAAATAGTCTCTCCAAATAGTAACATTGTCTGTGTGGCTTTCATTCAACCTTAAGAAGATCTCCTTAGAGAGTAGTAGATAATTTGAGGAATTCTAAAGAATATCATGACTGTAAATAATATTACTACTACTAATAATAAATAATAAATAATAAATAATAAATAATAGAAACTGTGATAATGATCAGGCACATAAGTAAAGATAAAGGGACCCCTGACCATGAGGTCCAGTCGTGGCCGACTCTGGGGTTGCGGCGCTCATCTCGCTTTATTGGTCGAGGGAGCCGGCGTACAGCTTCCGGGTCATGTGGCCAGCATGACTAAGCCGCTTCTGGCGAACCAGAGCAGCGCACAGAAATGCTGTTTACCTTCCCACCGGAGTGGTACCTATTTATCTACCTGCACTTTGACGTGCTTTTGAACTGCTAGGTTGGCAGTGATAATGATTAGGCACATACCAGAGGGTAAGTCCTACTGAACTCAGTGGTATACTTCTGAGTAAAAATGCTGAAGATTGCAGTATAAGACTGCAGAATCTTTACACAGTTATCTCGGAGTAAGCTCCATTGAATTCAGTGGGACTTCTGAGTAGTAAAGGCAGTTTAAGGCTCTAAAGAATAAAATAAAAGAATAAATACTCCACAAGATTCCTTTAAAAATTGCTGGCTGCTGAACCATTGCAATTAAAGAATTTAAAGTGGATTGGCTACATTTTCCTTCCAAATTGCAGGAAGGGATAAACACAAAGTGCTTCATATGCCAGCATCACATTTCATTCATTGCAGGAATTTTATTTTCACTATAAAGAGGACTCAGTTTTTGTAGCTGATTGTAGGCAGCAGTGCCCTCTTTATGTGTTCACATGGTGTAAACATGTATGTTGTCTTCTGGAGATCCAAATATTCTCTCATACACACACACACACACACACACAAACACAAAAACACAAGCAAGCCATACTCCAAAGGGCTTCTGTTCCCAAAAGGGCAGGAGGAGATGTTCTGATCTCTTCACCACTTCAAATTCATCTCTGAGACTTTATTTTTTTTTTTTTAAATAATTTTTTATTAAGATTTTAAACAAAGAAAAAGAAAAACAACACAGACAAAGAAAAAAAACAATACAAAATTTAACAATAAAAAGACAAAACATACCAATTAAAAACAAACTCTCTTTTCCGCTCCCATTTTTATATTACTTATTTTCTAGACTTCCTCATACCTCCCTCTTTTGTATTCCAATCTACATTATTTGTCCAGCAGTTTCTTTTCCACTTTTTTAAACCCAATCTTTAATTTAATAAAATATTATAATATATAACTTCAACTTTTTTTTTAAACATAATCCTTATTCTAATGTCATATACCTTTAAATTTTTCCCTTTTATTATCAAATTTCCATTTCTTTAAACATCCTTAATCTTGATCTTAATCTATCCTTAACTTTAACCTGTATAGCTGGAAACCATTTATTTTCAATCCAACATCACTCTAACATTCCTTAATTTTGCAATGTTTCTGAAGATAGTCTTTGAATTTCTTCCAATCTTCCTCCATCGACTCTTCTCCCTGGTCACGGATTCTGCCAGTCATTTCCGCCAATTCCATATAGTCCATAAGTTTCATCTGCCATTCCTCCAGTGTGGGAAGTTCTTGTGTCTTCCAATACTTTGCGATGAGTATTCTTGCTGCTGTTGTTGCATACATAAAGAAAGTTCTATCCTTTTTTAACACCTTTTGGCCCACTATGCCCTGGCGAAAGGCGTGTGGTTTCTTGGGGAGGTATACTTAAATACCTTTTTTAATTCATTATATATCATTTCCCAGAAAGCCTTAATCTTTGGGCACGTCCACCAAAGGTGAAAAAATGTACCTTCAGTTTCTTTACATTTCCAACATTTGTTATCGGGCAAGTGATAGATTTTTGCAAGCTTGACTGGGGTTATGTACCACCTATATATCATTTTCATAATATTCTCTCTTAAGGCATTACATGCCGTAAATTTCATACCAGTGGTCCATAACTGTTCCCAGTCAGCAAACATAATGTTATATCCTACGTCCTGTGCCCATTTAATCATAGCCGATTTTACCGTTTCATCTTGAGTATTCCATTTCAGCAGCAAGTTATACATTCTTGACAGATTCTTAGTATTGGGTTCTAACAATTCTGTTTCTAATTTTGATTTTTCCACCTGGAAGCCAATTTTCCTGTCTAATTTAAATGCCTCCATTATTTGATAATAATGAAGCCAGTCTCGCACTTTGTTTTTAGTTTTTCAAAACTCTGCAATTTCAGTCTATCTCCGTCTTGTTCCAAAATTTCCCAATATTTCGGCCATTTGACCTCCATATTGACCCTTTTCAAGGCTTTCGCTTCCATTGGTGACAGCCACCTTGGGGTTTTATTTTCTAGCAAATCCTTATATCTTATCCAAACATTAAATAGCGCTTTCCTGACAATGTGGTTTTTAAATGCTTTGTGTGCTTTGACCTTATCATACCATAAATATGCATGCCATCCAAATACATTATTAAAACCTTCCAAATCCAAAATGTCAGTGTTTTCAAGAAGTAGCCATTCTTTCAACCAGCAAAAAGCTGCTGATTCATAATAAAGTTTGAGGTCTGGCAGGGCAAATCCACCTCTTTCCTTTGCATCTGTTAGAATTTTAAATTTTATTCTAGGTTTCTTGCCCTGCCAGACAAATTTAGAAATATCTTTCTGCCACCTCTTGAAACAGTCCATTTTGTCCACAATCTGCAAAGTTTGAAACAAAAACAACATTCTAGGCAATACATTCATTTTTATCGCAGCAATACGGCCTAGCAGTGAAAGCTTCAGGTTTGACCAAATTTCTAAATCTTTTTCACTTCTGACCAACATTTTTCATAGTTATCTTTAAATAAATTCCCATTTTTTGCTGTCATGTTAATCCCCAAGTATTTAACTTTCTTAACCACTGTTAACCCTGTCTCATTCTGAAACCTCTCTCTTTCAAAAGATGTTAAATTTTTCTCTAAAACCTTAGTTTTTGATTTGTTCAATTTAAATCCTGCCACTTGACCAAATTCTTGAATCAGTTCTAAAACCCTTTTTGTACTAGATTCTGGCTCCTGTAACGTCAGTACTAAGTCATCTGCAAATGCTCTCAATTTATAGTGTTTAGTTCCGACCTGTATACCTTTAACCAACTGGTCCCTTCTAATCATGTTCAGCAACACCTCCAGGACCGAAATAAAGAGGGGAAATTGGGCAACCTTGTCGTGTCCCTTTTTCAATTTTAAGTTCTTCCGTCACAACGTTATTTACAATTAATTTAGCCTTTTGTTCTGAATAAATTGCACTTATACCATTCTCAAAACCTTGGCCTACCCCCATACCCTGAAGATTCTTCTTCATAAAATTCCAAGAAATATTGTCAAAGGCTTTCTCCGCATCTACAAATATCAACACTGCTTTAGTGTTTATATTCACTTCTAATTTTTCCAAAATATCAATTATATTCCTCAGATTATCAGACAAGTGTCTTCTTGGGAGAAAGCCCGCTTGGTCCTTATGAATCTCTTCCAACAGCACTTTTTTAAATCTCTTCGCCAAAATATCTGCAAAAATTTTGTAATCCACATTAAGTAATGATATTGGGCGGTAGTTCTTTAGTTGTGTCTTTTCAGCCTCTGTTTTTGGTACAAGTGTAATATATGCTTCTTTCCACGACTCTGGTGCCCTCCTCCCCTCCATTATTTCGTTGCAGACCTCTTTCAATGGTTGAATTAACCAGTCTTTTAAGGATCTGTAGTATCTAGAGGTCAAACCGTCTGGGCCTGGAGATTTACCCAGTTGCATATTTTGAATGGCACCTTCTATTTCCTGTTCCGTTATTCTATCATTCAAAATTAGTCTCTTTTCTTGAGATATTTTTGTAATCCATTTGTTTTCAAAAATTGATCTAAGTCTGTTTCTTTCACGGGCCCTTGAGTGTATAGTCTTTTAAAATACTTCTGGAAACAACTTCTAATTTCTGCAGGGTTCTGTATATTCCTTCCATCCACTTCTAAATTCGTAATCGTATTTAATTTTTGTCTCTTTTTCATTTGCCATGCCAACAGTTTACCACATTTATTAGCCGATTCAAAAGTCTTTTGTCTCATTTGTTTAATTTTCCATTCTATTTCCTGATTCATTATTTTCATATATTGTACTTGATATAACTTTAACTCTCTCAGAGTCTCTTGAGATTTGGGATTTACTCGCAATCTTTTTCGCATTCATTCATTTTATTCATAATTTTATCCTTCTTCTCATTTTGAGTTCTTTTCTTTATCACATTCTGTTGTATTAAGAACCCTCTCATCACAGCTTTACTTGCATCCCAGATTACTCTTTTCTCCACGTTGGAACTAAGATTTATCTCAAAGTAGTCTTTTAAAGTTTTTTGGGCCTTCTTAAGAAATTCTTCATCTCTAAATAAGGTGTCATTCATCTTCCATCTGAAGGAGCCAGTTGGCATTAGTCTCATTTCCATCTTAACAGCATTATGGTCGGAGCAAATTTTTGGGCAGATTTCCACCTTTTTTGTTTTTGCTGCCATTCCTCTAGTTATCCAGATTTGGTCAATTCTTGTCCAAGTCATTTTGGCTTCAGAAGAGAAAGTTCCTTCTTTTACCAAGGGGTTTCTAATTCTCCAAATATCCACTAAATCCAAGTTGTCTGTCATATCAAAAAAGGTTCTCGGTAGTCTACCATCTTTGGTGACTACCTGTTTTTGTGCCTTGTCCATGTAAGTAGATACCACTCCATTCATATCTCCCATCAAAATTATGTTGTAATCCATATGGTCCATCAAGGTCTCATGCAACTTCTTAAAAAAATCGGATTTCCCATCATTTGGTGCGTAAACTCCTACGATCAAAAATTTTTATTATAAACATGGTCCATTTCCTTCCCACCCACTCATTACTATTTTCAGCCACAAGGCTCCCCTCCAACTCCCCCCCCCCCCCCGTTCTCCAGGGATCATCCCTAAATCAAAAGTATATTGAAAGGAAAATTACTATAATCACTTGGGGGGTGCTTGTGGATTTGCATAACATCTGCTCTATATCACACACAAATTGATGTGCTGTTTTTCAGTTGGAGTGAAGGGCCCATAAATAAATTGGTGGTCTCTCTCTCTCTCTCTCTCTCTCTCTCTCTCACACACACACACACACACACACACACACACACACACAGATGTCTGACAGGTGAAGCTTTCCCTATAATTGCATTTCCACAGGAGAAAAGGGCTTACCTGTTGAATTTCTGCCTTCCACTCAGCTCTAAAAGGCACAAGAACCTCAGCTGTTCTTGTGCAATTCCCATCATCCCTGGCGAGCAGGACCAGTGGTCAGGGAGGATGGGAATTGTAGTCCAGAAAGACTTGGCAACCCAAGTGTGGGAAACACTGAGGAGACCATTGTAGTGTTAAGTGAAGGATACTGTGCAGTGAATTCTGAAGATCATCCTGTTTGCCAGGAAAAAAGGAAGGACAAATTCTGAGATTCCCAGGACTGGGAAATGAGACAGAAGGATGGAAAGTGTCCTAGGAAGGGGAGGGGCATCCCAGGAACCCCTAGTTTGCGGAATGCGCAGCCTGACACTGGGGAAACTGGGCTGACTTTGGGTAGATTGGGGGGAGGGTCAGAGATCCCACTGGTGGGAGTGGGAAGTTGGGGGCTGGGAGCGTAGGATTGACTGACTGTTCCGGGCGGGGGCCCAACCTGGGCTTTCTGTCACCCGGGCAAAGACCCAGTTTTGTCACACACACCCCATGTGTATTTGCATACACACACAAAACTTGACACATTTGTTCATAAAGGGCATAAAAAGAGGCTGGAGAAGAGATAGTCTCTCCAAATAGTAAAATTGTCTGTGTGTGTATCTGGCTTTCATTCACCCTTAAGTAGATCTCCTCAGAGAGTAGTAGATAATTTGAGGAATTCTAAGGAATATCATGACTGTAAAGAATAATAATAATAATAATAATAATAATAATAATAATAATAATAATAAATAGACTGTGACAGTGATCAGGCACAGAAGTAAAGGTAAAGGGACCCCTGACCATTAGTCGTGGCCGACTCTGGGGTTGTGGCGCTCATCTTGCTTTATTGGCTGAGGGAGCCGGCGTACAGCTTCCGGGTCATGTGGCCAGCATGACTAAGCCGCTTCTGGCGAACCAGAGCAGCGCACGGAAATGCCGTTTACCTTCCCGCCAGAGCGGTACCTATTTATCTACTTGCACTTTGATGTGCTTTCAAACTGCTAGGTTGGCAGTGATAATGATCAGGCACATACCAGAGAGTAAGTCCTACTGAACTCAGTGGTATACTTCTGAGTAAAAATGCTTGATTGCAGTATAAGACTGCAGAATCTTTACACAGTTATCTCGGAGTAAGCTCCATTGAATTCAGTGGGACTTCTGAGTAGTAAAGGCAGTTTAAGGCTGTGGTCAGAGAAAGCCCCCCCCCCCTGCAAGCTGGAAGCCTCAGTTGCGCCCCTCTAGAGGCTTCACCCTGGCTAGCCCCCTCCCCCCTTAACTATGGCCTCTCCTCCCTCCCTTGAAGCCTCCAGGTCCCTCCCTGCCTAAATCTCTGACCTCCCTCCCACATCTCCCTTGCCTCCCTCCCACAGTCCAGCCCAAGGTGAAGATCACCCCCACAGACAACGTTGAATCTTCACCACACAACACTCTGCTGATTTGCACCGTGAACCGCTTCTTCCCTGCGGGGATCGAGATCAAGTGGTTCAGGACGGGAAGGAGGAGCCCAAAGTGTGGACCACGGACCTCATCCGGAACGGGGACTGGACCTTCCATATTGAGGTGATGCTGGAGACAAAGCCAGAACGTGGAGACGTCTACACCTGCCAGGTGGAGCACGCCAGCTTCGAAGGCCCCGTCACGGTGAAATGGGGTAGGACGCCTTCCTACTGGGAGTGGGGGGCATTCCTGGGGGGCTAGGTGGGTTGCTCCCCCCTCAGGGGGCTGATCCCAGGCCTTCCTTTCCTCACTCGCAGCTTTTTCTTTCTTCAGAGCCACAGTCGGACTCTGCCAGGAGCAAGATGTGGACGGGGATTGTGGGAATTATGCTGGGGCTGGTCTTTGGGGCCACTGGACTCGCCCTTTACCTGAAGAACAAGAAAGGTGAGGGTTGGGTGTGGGGCTGGATTGGGCTCCAGGCTCCCCTCCTCTTCTTAGGCAGAGGCTCTGGAGAGGGTTCTGTTCCTTCTCCACTCCTAGGAGGTCCCTCTGGGTGTCTCCAATGGAGCCTCAGCTATTATGGAGATGATCTGAGTTTAAACCTGTAGATTAAGACCTAAACCTCCTGTTCAACATATGAGGGAGAAATTCAAAAGCATCTCTGGCTCTGAAGCCTTTGAGCAGAGTAAGGACACAGATGTTTTGCAGCTTCCTGGTCCCAGCACTTGTAATTGGGAATTAAATTTGGGATTGGATGACCTCCCCCTCTTCATCCCACATTGCAGAGAATGAACCATACATCTCCAGATAAATGGAAAGAAATGTTTACTTACATTTGATTGCAGGCAACATACACAGCATAAAATAGTATGCCAACTAATACTGCTAAGTTGCATTAAAATAAAAATTGGTAGTCTTAGCTAAGATGGTAGAGAGTTGAGCTTTGGAGAGGAAGGAAGTATTAACGAATATGTTCCTATCGTTCTCTTCCTGCCCTATGCAAACAAGAGGATATGACCTGACAGAATGCGGTCTAGGATTTTTACAGGAGATTCTGTGTGCCTTAACCCTTGCTTATCTAGCAAATAGGAAATTTTATTTTATGAATAGAGTATCATTTTATCACATAAACGGCTCCAGGGCTAGAATTACCTGCAGGATCTCTTAAGAGGCTGACTTCCTGGTCCCAGCAGTAAGTCAAAGGCTCTCTCTCCCTGCTGAGCGAAGGGCCTTTGAGACACTTACAGTCAAGAGGCGAAATTCATCTTCCTTGGGTCTTTTCACTGTTTGTGTCTCTGAAATAAATCAACAACTGGGCAATGTAGAGCCCCAAAGGAGGCAGCTAAGGGAATATGGGAGGGTTTGTGTGGTGGGGGCATTGGGTAATGGGGAAGAGATTAGTTGGCAAGATGTTCTCCAGGGTCCTTTCTGTACTGGGAAGGAAATATTTATTTCCTATAAAGATTCTTCTTTCACCCCCTTATACTCCTTAGGACAGAATGAGGGGGGGGGGAGTTCCTAGCTGTGCCTGGAGTGTGTCATCTTGATCTTGGGGGGGGGGGGAGGGTGTTCCCAGAAAAGCTATTTCAGGGGATATCTGGTGCTGACTGAATCTTTCTATTCTTTTTTTCTCTCCCAGGGCAAACTGTTCCTCAGCCTGCAGGTAACTTTCCTCTCTGCTCTTCCATCCTCCTCCTCCTCCCCCAACCCCCTTCTCCTGGCTGCTTGCTGTGCCCCCGCCATGGCTTCCTTGTAGAACAGAGGGGAGGGGCTTCCTATGGATAAATCCATCCCCTGATGCACACACTCCAATATCATGTCCTGGAAGGGGGTCTCCAGGGGAATGTCCCACCTGGGAGACACTCAAGCAGAGACCATGAAGAGAGCAGGGCTGGCATTTGGCCACATTTGGTCCAGGGTCTGTGGTTCCCCATTTCTGATCTAGACAGATCTCCTTGGTCTCTTCTGAAGCTCCTCTTCTCCACTGCCAAAGCCAGCCAAGTCTCCCTCCCTCTGCCTCCTTCCCTCCTCAGAGCCCCCCCTGCCAGGCCCATAACTGGTGGCGATGGGAATTGTAGTTCACAATATCTGATGGCCGCTCTATGGAGTGTCCCCCAAATCTTGCCAGGGATTCTTCTACCCCTTTCTCCCCGTTCCTCACCCCACAGTGATGGGCTTCTCTCTCTCTCCTCTGCCTGCAGGACTCATCAGTTAGACTTCGCTGCTCCATCAGGATCCTGGGATGTGGAGAAGCTCTGTTCTTCCTGCCAGTTGCCCTCTGTCCATGCTCAGAGGTGGAAACCTCCTTGGAAGGAGGATGGAAGGAGTCACAGATCAAGAACGACAGTGTCCACCCCTCTCCCACCTCTGTTGCTTGCTTGTCCTTTGGGGAAAGTTTCTTCTTGTGTTTCCCTTTCCGCTTGTTGATTGCAAGTTATCACAACCTGATTTTACTTCATTGCACCTCTCTGCTAGAGAATTTGTGCTTTGAATCTCCCTGGAGGAGCCTGAGCTGTCCCTGAAAACAACCATGAATCTGGTCAGACTGCCAGGACTGGTCCTTCAAGCCCTGATGGGGAGCTTCACAACTGAATTGGGGAGGTTTCCCATGTGGCCTCCCAAACCTCTCCATGTGGCTCCTGGGACTCTCCCCAGCCTTGTGTTGCCCCTTCCTTCAGAGTCTTTGCCTGGCTGGGATTTGTCCTTCTACTCCAATCATGCTTCTTGCTCGCCTTGACGGAGGATGGAGAGGGGAGGGTGAGCTTGTGCAGAGACTGGTCTCCTGTGAAAACTTCACACTGGCCTTTGATGCTCTGCTCCTGCCCACCAATGGTGTGTGGCCCCCAGAAGGTTCCCCAGAAGAGAACGTGGCCCTTGGGCTGGAGACGGTTCCCACACCCAATTCCTTTGCTGCTCTTCTTGCTGTGGACTAAGATGGCCTCCCCCAGCTGCCACTTGGGTGACCTGGGAACACAGGGTCCCTGGAAACTGCCTTAGGCCGAGTCCATCTGGCTCAGCAGCATTTCTGGTCCCATATGCCCACACTGACTGGCAGTGGCTCAATTGATGTTTCAGAGGGCGAGTCTTTCTATTTTTTTTTTTTTAAGATATTTATTCCAATTTTAAAATTACAAAAAAGAAGAAAAAACCATACAAAATAGAATAGAACATATAACAAAAAACAGACAATAAGAAAAACTCAACAAAAAATATAAAAATACATTACAATGAAATATAACAAAAATCGAATTAAACCTTTACATCCTTTTTCCCTTTTACTTATTTCCGTGACTTCCTCTCACCTCCCCGCTTTGTATTCTAGTTTAAATCGTATTTCCAGCAGATCCTTCTAACCTTCTTTTCATTTACTTATTTTAACATTCAATAATATAATTAATCCTCCTCTATCCTCAATTTCTATACTTCATTTTTACTTAATCCATTATGTCATATCTGCCAAAACGACGTAATATTCTTTTTCCAACCTCTTTCTAACATTCTTTTATGTTGCAGTATTTTTGAAGATATATTTTAAATTTTTTCCAATCTTCTTCCATCGACCCTTCTCCCTGGTCTCGAATTCTGCCGGTCATCTCAGCCAGTTCCATATAGTCCATCACTTTCATCTGCCATTCTTCTCGGGTAGGCAATTCTTGTGTCTTCCAGTATTTCCCAATGAGTATTCTTGCTGCTGCTGTCGCATACATTAAAAGTTCTATCTTCCCTTCGCACCAATTGGCCGACCATGCCCAAGAGGAAGGCCTCTGGTTTCTTTAAAAAAGTATATTTCAATACCTTTTTTAATTCATTATATATCATTTCCCAGAAGGCCTTGATCTTTGGGCACGTCCACCAAAGGTGAAAGAAAGTACCTTCGTTTTCTTTACATTTCCAACATTTATTATCGGGCAAATGATAGATTTTTGCTAGCTTGACTGGGGTTAAGTACCACCTATAAATCATTTTCATTATATTTTCTCTTAAGGCATTACAAGCCGTAAATTTCACAGAGGGCAAGTCTTTCTAGCCCTTCTTGAGCGTTCCGGGGACTGAACCTTCTACACTCCAAGCAGCTGCCCTTCCGTATACGATACTTAAAGTGCAGTCAAACCAGCAATGCATGCTTTCCTGGAAAGGCACGTGATAGGATCTGGAGCTCACAGAATTTCCCCGTAGGTTTTCCTCCTCGTAAACTTTGACTCACTTTCAGCAAGCCCCTTCTTGGAAGGACCTGCTTCTAAAATAGGAGTCAAAGACCTGTTTCCCCTTGTTGCAAATTAGTCCCAACAACTTCTTCGTGATCAAAGTGGGCATTACCCAACTATTGATGCACTCCACCCCAATCTTTGAGTGGTGTGAGGTTCCAGGGGTCCAGGAAATGAGGTGCAGTGAAAACTCTGGTGTCTTTAGGTTATATGGTTTATTGACACACACATATATATACATCCTGAGTCTATGATGGGCTCACAGCATCAAAACCCCAAGAGGTTCCTAGCCAAAGCAGCTTTGGATTCAGACAGACACCAGCCATGTTCCGAGACTCTCCTTCCAGCTTGCTGCTGACAGACTGAACCCTCCCCCACCCCCCCACACACATCAGGCCACAGCAACTGAAATCCCCAAAACTCTTGTCCCTGCTCACTAATTAGGATCTCAGGGTGGAAATCCACCCACTTTCTTCATGGCTCATTCTATGCAGCCATTATCAGTATTCCAGCTTTTGAATCCCTGCTAGATCTGGAGAGACCTTGATTCAACCCGTTACTGGTTCCAGGAATTTAGGGGTGCCGGGCCCCCCCCCCAATATAACAATAAATTAAATGTGCACACCCCTATTATTCCTCCTCAGTCTCTCTCCTCTCCCTCGCAACATGAGTCCATTTCCAGGGACAGCCCATCTCCTCCTTTTGCCCTGATGCTTTTGTCTCCACTGAGCTGCTGGCTTCTTAATTGCTCTGTAAAGATTCAGCTATTTTGTGGTGATAACGATGTTAAGCCTTGGGATGATTTGCTCTGAGCTGTACCAATAAAGATTGTCCTCAACCTCCCTCTGTTGTCTTTGAACTGTTTCCTTCAATTAAAGGTCAATATTCACAGAGTGCGTCACTTGTCCATCCTGGAGGGGGG